CCATTAGTAACAGTACAGCCCGACTGGACTCGACTCAGCCAGGTTCCAAGGCTTTTCCATTAGTAACGGTACGTAGAACCTGTCCCTATTTTCAGGACCTTTGGCTTTGTGGTTCTAACCCGGCTGAGTAGGTATGAAAACGTGACATCAGAACACTGTCGGTCACTGATTGGTCGGGGTGGAGTCACTGGATCTTTCAGAAACTTTTCAAAACACTGATCCACCATTTGCAATTTCTCTGACCGGAGCAGCAGCTGGACCTTTTTTAAAGATTTTAAAAACAATAATGACAAGACCTTGGTCCAAAAATGCTGAAGTGCTGACGTTTTTTGTGCTTAGTGGCCGACGACAAAATTCAGAGCGAGCTGGATGGAGCTCTGCTGGTCTACCCCGTTCCTCACCCCCGAAGACTCAGAGCTCCGCTGGTCACCATGGAAGATCCTCCATGTTGCCGACTCAGGGCTTGGGCTCTGGATCCCGACCTTGCATGCTCCGAACTCTTCTGGTCACCACAAAGGATCATACGAGGTGACTCGCAGATGGCCGTTGCCCAGACCCCGGCCTTGCATAATCATGAAGGCCGAACCCCGATCCCGGCAGAAAGGCGCGGACCAAGACTGCTGTGGGATGGACGGTGGAAGCGATTTTAAAATAATAATAATAATTTTTTTTTAATACACAAAATGTTTTTAAAAATCGCTTGCACCATCCGTCCCAGACCCGTCCTGGTCCGCCTGTCTGCCAGGAAGATGATGCCCGCCCGTCCTGGCTCCGAGGCTCTGAGGGAGAGGACCGGGTGAGATCAGCTGAGCTAGTCATAAAAAAAGTAATGTATTTTTTTTAGCGTTGAAGATTAAAAAAATAATAAACTAAACAGTGCCGGTTTTATCATGAAATCCTGTTTAACTTTAATGACTATCTGTTAAAGTTAATGGATGAAAATCATAAAAAGACAAAATTATTGGATCTCTCAGGAATATTTCCCTCAAACATGTTTAAAGAAGCGATATAGCCTTTTTGCTTTGTTTTGCTTTTGTTTTTTTGAATGTCCAGAAGACCAGATTTAACTTTTTTGGATTTTTCTACCTGGATTATTGAGCATGCATCAAGAGATATAGCCTTTAGTTCAACTTTGTTCTAACTCACACATGTACAAATCACAAAACAAGCACTTTAAAGCAAAGCTAAAAATAAAAATATATGTGAACAAGAAACAAAACCACATATCTAATTGAACAATTCAATTTAATTCAAATTCAAAAATACTTTATTAATCCCAAAGGGAAATTATTTCTTGTTGTAACTCGTTATCCTCATTTCATTAAGAGATGTTATAGATACTGATGCTGTAGACAGGAAGGATCTCTTGTAAAGGTCC